TTTTTTTAAGAAATACCTTTTAATTTAGGTAAATAAAGCTCAAGGAGGTGGGGCTGTCATCTATGGTGTCAATCCTTCTTCCCCTGCCCAGGCAGAGGCCTCTGGTTGTCAGTGTGGCTCCAGGGCCTGGACAAGCAGCTCATTCAGGCAGCCCACCACGGCCCTGGGGTCATCAACGAGCCCAGCGGCTATCACTGCATTCTCGTATATCTGATCCACCAGCCTGGGCCAGGCCAGGCTCGCTCACCTGCAGCTGATTCAGCTTCATGAGTGCATTCCTGGGGTTGACCTCCAGCACCGGCTGCAGGAGCTGTGCTCGCTCCGCCTGGGTCTTGGCCAGCTGCTACATGTGCAGAAGTGACGGGCGGCCCCCATCTCCAGCACGGTGTCCATGGTGGGGTGGGTGTCCAGTCAGAGGGTCACCTTCACGTTGGTGACACGCGACCCCAGCACGTTTCTCATTCAGGCCATGAGGTCTTCTGTCTCCTTCTCTGACAGGCGCTCAGCAGCTGGGGACCCGTCCTTAAACTTCCACTCCTTGTAGTGATCCACAATGATGTCTGTCTCCACGGAGATCAGCTTCTTCTTGTCAAACTCACGAAGGTGCAGCAGGGTGAGCTCATCACTGCTCATAGCAGAAGAGAACCTCTGTGTCTTTCTGCTTTATGGCCTTGTAGTAGGCCGAGTGCTCTGCCAGGTGCCGGTTGGAGGCACACAAGTAATAGATGTCGCGGGTGCCAGCCCGCATGCCGTTGGCATATTCCAAGAGGCTGGTTAGCTGCCCAGCCGGCAGCGCGGAGGACTAGTAGCACAGCAGCTTTGCTATGTCCTCCTTGACCTCCTGCTCGGCCGTGGTCACAATGCCCTCCCGCATGAACAGGCCGTAATCTTCAAAAAACTTTGCATATTTCTCAGCGTCTTTTTTACTCTGGTCAACGAGGAATTTGATCAGCCTCTGCTGTAAAACATCCTGGAGTTTTCTAATGAGTGCACTCTCCTGCAGCAGCTCCCAGCTGAGGCTCAGGGAAATGTCCTCACTGTCCACCACACCTCGGATGAAGCACAGCCACTTGGGCAGAATGTCTGTGGCCTTGGTCTGGATAAGGACTTTGAGGCTGTACAGTGCGACGCCGGAGCCCAACTCCCGGCTCACGTCAAACGCGGACGGTTTCGTGTCCGGCACGTTGAAGATGCTGCGGTTGTTGAGCGGCGCAACCATCTTATAGTGCAGGGTGTAGCAGGGCTTCTCATAGGCCTGCGCAATGTAACGGTAGAACTCTTCATGCTGCCACTCGCCGATGTCCTTGGGGTCCATCATCCAGATGGCCTGCAAGGTGTTCATCCGCCTTCCATTCAGGTACAAGGGGAAGCTGACGAAGTTGCTGTACTTCGTCACCACATCCCGCACCTGGGCCTCACTGGCAAACTCCCTGCAGTCGGATTTCAGGTGGATGATGATTTTCGTCCCAGTTCTAACTCCCGAAGCTTCCGCAATTTCACACACTCTGGAGCCGTCTGAAAGCCACTGGTAACCTGGGCTCCCCGGGGATGCCGAGCGGGAATAGACCTCCACTCTGCCAGCCACCATGAAGGTCGAGTAGAAACCCACTCCAAACTGGCCAATGATCTTGCTGCTGGCCTCAGCCTGGTTCTGCAGAGCATCTAAGAATGCCTTTGACCCCGGTCTGGCGATCGTCCCAAGTTGGACACCAGCTCTTCCTGTGTCATCCCGAAGCCAGTATCCTGGACGGTGATGGTGCCTTTCTCGGCATCTGTCTGCAAGTGAATCTCCATTTCTGGCAGTGCCTGGCCATCAGACACCAGTTTGTGACGCAGTTTTTCCAAGTCATGGCTGGCACTGGAGACCAGCTACCATATAAACACCTCTTTTTCTGAGTGCAAGGACCGGGCAACGATGTCCAAAAGCTTCTGTCTCGGCCTGGAACTCATGTTTGGAAGTAGAACCCTGCACGCGCTCTGTGCTGCTGAAGATCAAGTGCAGGGGTTCCTCCTTGTCCTCGTTGGTCTGCGTGCTGAATGGCTGTCCTGCCTGGAAACTCCAGGCCGTGTTTCGTCTGGGACAGAACTGGGCTGTGGTCCTCCGTGGACACAGAATTGGTTTTCCTCCCGGGGCGGTCGCCAGCGCCGGCGCCCACAGCAGAGGCCGTAGTCGACGGCCCCACGGCAGCAACACCCGCAGCTCGCGCGCCTAGTCGTCCTCCCAGAGCGCCGCTTGCAGCCACGCGGGACGAGACGGGGCGGGGCCGAGCAGGGCGGGGCCGTCCTCCGGCGCGGGGAGGTGATGTCATGGCGGGGGCCGGGCTGCCCAGACCGCTCCATTTTTCTTTTTTTAATTTTTTAAATTTCTTTTCTGTTTTTTTTTTTGTGTATGTGTGGGGTTTTTTGGGGATTTTTGTTTATTTATTTATTTTTTAAATTCCCATTTTTTCAGCTCTAAGA